GGTCTAATGACCCCAGGTTCCAGTATCTTATATGAAACAAATGCCCAGAATTCTTATGGTAGCTCCTGAAGTCATTAGCTTCTTCCAGAGCTCTGTTCTACCACTCCTGGGGTAAGGCCCTTGTCCTCATTGTTAAAGATGGCTGCTAGAGCCCTAGCCATCACATCTGCATTCCAGGAAGCAGGATGGAAAAATGGATGAAAGGAAAGGGAGCAAAGAGCACACATTATAGCATCCTTTTAAATCTGTTTATATAAACTTGTTTCCTTGAAGACACATAACATATCTGCATGCATTTTACTTAGTCATACAGCCTAGTCATCTAGCTGCAAGGGATGTTGAAAATGCAGTCTTCATTTTTAACAGTCAAGTTCTCAGCTAAAAATTGGGGGTTGTAATATTAAGGAAGAGGGATGAACAGACATTATAGTACACTACTGATTTCTGTCATGGTTGTGTGTAAAAGCTAAGTTAATTTTCTTCCCAAGGCAGTCACTGTCAACGTTTCTTGACTATCTGGAAAAAGGCCGGATGTTTTTGTCCTGATTTTTTTCTACTGTGCCACGAGTTGGCACAACCTGCCCTCACTTCACCCTTTCTCCCTGGTCATTTGATTCTCACAAAAGTTCTATGAAATCAGTAGGGCAGATGTCATGACCCCTGTTTTACAGATGCAGAAACCGAGGCCCAGACATTGCTGAAAGCCACATGGTAAAGAATGGAATTGAACTTCCTTTTGAGGCAGTACAAGGTGGCCAGTGTTTTGTAGCTTAAAGGAAAAAGTCTCAATTTGGTGCTGATGTGTCTTGAACATCAATAAGAGTAAAGAGCAGCAGCTCTCAGGCTCAGCATTTGGCTGGCAAAAGTGTCTAGTTAGAACAGAAGAATAGTGTTTTGGTTTCATTGTACTTACATTTATAGTTTCCTTCTATTTATGGCTAATGATCCTGGTTTCCTGTTCTTTGACAGTGGAATAAAGCTTACTTTTTTAAGTAAATGCTTCTAAGTTAAGAAGGTGAATTTATTCACAGAGAATAACATTAAGTAAAGACCCTTCTGGGTTTGAACACAAATCCCACCACTGACCTGCTGTGTGACATACAATACTTGGTTCCTCTAAACCTCATTTTCCTCATCTGTAAAATGAGGATGATAATTTTTTCCTACCTCACAGATTTGTTGTAGGATTAAATGAGATAACGAATGTCAGGAGCTTAGCACCCTGACACATAATTAAGCATTCAATACTATTTGTTCACGTTATTATCACATTATTAATAATACTAATATTGTCAATCTTAATTTTGTCACAACCCATCCTGGCTGCTTAGTGGACTGTAGGGTAATTGGATAAAGATGTCCCATCCCATGCTCCTTGCCCTATACCAGTGGTTCTTAACTAGGAACAACTTTTCCCACTTGTCCCCTTCCCTAACAGGGACATTTGTCAATGGCATTTTTTATTATTGTGACTGGGGATGGTGGTGCCATTGTCAATGGCATTTTTTATTATTGTGACTGGGGATGGTGGTGCCATTGGCATGTGGTATAGAGGCCAGGGATGACGTGCAACATCCTGCACTACAGAGGACAGTCCCCCATCAAAGAGAATCATCAGGTCAAGAGTTAGAAATGCTGTGGTTGAAAGGTCATACCCCACACTGCACCCTGCACCTGTGTCTTGAGCCTTGAAGCAGCCAGCTCATTATTTCTGATAGAGACTTGAGCATGGACTCCCAAGTCCTCAGTTTCCCCATCCAGCAAATGAGGATGCTGAAGCCTGCCCTGCCTGGAGTCACTCCATCTCCCGATGATTGAGCCTCTTTATCATTTCCCTGGGCTGGGCTGTCCCTTGTGGTTTCTTCCTCTCTTCCCCCAGGTCCAGGGAAACCTATCTGATTGGCTTTTCCTCATTTGCTTGACTTCTGGGTGTTTTCCAGTCCCAGAGAAGCCCCTAGGGCCCCATAGCCACCACCTAAAACATTGCAGAGCAAGGGAGGCAGAGAGAGGGAGTGAAGATGAAGAGAGAAGCCCAACTCCTGCCCTTTCTGAGTGCCTTGTTATTCTGGGTCCCAGTCTTAGTTTTTCCTTGCAAGCACTCCTTGGCATGTATTACTATTCTGTGCATGTTGACTTCAGTTTATTCCTTCACACATACCTCTCTGCTCCCAAGGACAGAAACCATGCCTGCCAATGTCCCCAGCTCCCTGCACAGTGCCTGGCACACATTAGGCATTGAGAATTTATATGTAGAATGTAGGGAGAGCCAGAGAGCAGAAAGGGAGAGGGGACCGGTATAGAGAAGGAAGAGAAGCGAGAAAAGGAAGAGAGAAGAGGGGGTGTTAAAGGAATGTAAAATGCAGAGAGAATTAAAGGGAAAAGGAAAGAGGGAGGGTTGAGTCTGAGATTTGAGCATGATGCAGAGCAGCCCGAGAAGGAGGAGGGACGTGAAAAGACAGAAGCAAAGAAAGAAAGATGAAAAGGATGAAGAGAAAGGAATGGAGACATGTGACTTAGACAGAGACAGGTAAGTAGTGAGGCAGAGAGTGTGTGCAGGCACAGGGCCTGGGGAAGAAAACCTTGGGAGCTGAGCTCAGGGTTGCAGAGGGGAGTGGACCACGCACAGGAGCCTCAGCTGTGTGGCTGGGAGCTTGGGATGGTACAGTTACCATGGAGACAGGAATGCTCCAGCCGGGAAAGGAGAGGAAGCAGATGGGTTGGGTGGGTTTGCCCCCTCCACAGGTTCTGTCCTAACCCCTATCTCTGGCTGGAGATTCAGAGCCTGGGGCAGGTGGGAGCGCACTGCCTGGGGAGGGGCCCTGGGGATACCAAGGGCAGAGTTGTTGCTTCTCTCCTATTCCCAAGTCCCTGGCCGTTGACTATCCTCTCCTTTCTGATAGGGGCCTGGAGGGTCTTGGAAGTGTTAGTGATATATGGGGAGATGAATGGGTCAAGCCTTCTCCATAAGCTCCTCTTTTTCTTCCTGCCTTGTAACTGCTGGGTCACCCCAGGGCTCAGTCCTGGGCCTTCTCTTTAGTTTCCATAATGTCTGATCCCAGGGATCCGTGTGCCCACAGCTCCAAAATTTATATCCCTAGCACTGATTCTCCCCTGAGCTTTCCTTTCCTTTTGGGTTTCTAACAGGCATCTTCAAACGTGAATTATTTGACTCACTACACTAGGCTCATTTTCCCCCAGGGCTTTCTGCATTTCCTTTCCCTTTGCCAGGAACTCTCCTGACCCTAAAGCAAGGGACTGGCAGCACTGAGAGGGGAGGGAGCCCTGCCTCCCCTGCCAGCGTGTGTGTGTGTGTGTGTGTGTGTGTGTGTGTGTGTGTGTGTGATCATGGTGCTGTGGGGGAGCCCTGCATCAGGAGGAGGAGCACAGCCTAGGGGAGTGGGGGCCCTGTCCTGGTGGCACTGGGGGTGGGAAGGCAAGGCCAGAGGCTAAATGCTAGGAAAGGACAGGAGCCACCACACCAGCAGGCCGGTCTGGGGCCTTTGGAGCACCTCATCAGATGGTAGATGGCTGAGGGAGCTGGCAAAGCTGAGGGCCTCTACCTGCCCTGGGGACTAGGTGGGCCTCGTGGACAGTGGGAAGGACTGACTACCATCCCCACTTGTCATTGCTGTCATCTAAAACCCAGGTTAAGTACCCCGTGGGTCTGGTGTGCGACCTGTGAGTCTTAGAGTAGCCCAGTTGCTGGGTGGATTGTGAGATGCTAAGAGGACAACACCCAGCCACATGGTCAAAGGTCACCCAGCTGCCAGCACTGCAAGGCAGAAGGTCACAGCCACAGAGGCTTACTGAGCATGGTTGGTTCTGACTGGCTGTGTGGGGCACGGGGTCTCTGAGCCTATCACAGCTATCAGAGTTGGCAGAGCAATGCAGTGCGCTGACTGGCTCAGACTTGGGTCCCACCCACTAGGTTCAGGGCCAGGAAGAGCCCACTGAACACAGAAGGGAACCAGCAAAGGTCTATTTTGGGGATTGTCTTGGCCTTACCCATTCCCCTTCCCCTATCTTCCCCCACAATGTTTCCTTATTTGTGTGATATTTATTTTTATTGTTATGACTGGTTTTGACAACAACACCTAACATTTATCTGGGACTTACTCTGTCAAGCACTTTACATTTGCTGCTTCCTTTATAATCGTTAGAATTTCTGGATACCGTCCTTATCCCCATTTTATAGATGAGGGAACCGAGGCTCGAAGGAACTGGCTCTAGGTCATGCATCAAGACAATAGCTGAGGCAGGATGTGAGCCCCAGCCCCCTTAATGACTTTGCTCCAATGGCCCTCTCACCTGCCACACCGCAAGCTCCATGCGGCTGGCATCAAGGCCCCCTGCCGCCCGTCCGCCAGTGCCCGGCCCACAGCAGGCCCCCAGTAGAGTGAGTGAGCCAGGCACAGCTTCCATGCATTACTTCACGAAATCCTCACAACCGGTCGGTGAGGTAAGTGCTGTGGTTTCCACCACACAGACAGAAGAGGCGGCACTCCCAAAGTCCTACACTAAGTGAAAGAACTAGGCTCACGCCCCGCGGTTCTCGTCCCGATCTGTTCTCTGAGTGCAGTGCTCAGCTGTGAGAATGAGAACGTCCAGCATCCTGAAGGAAAGGGGAATGAATGACCAAAATTAAAAATAAAGACAGTGAGGATGGGAGGGGGTAAGTAAGCATGGCCAAGATGCTAAAGGGAGCTGAAGGAGGTGACCTGGTTTGCTATTTTATTTTTTCAGGAAAGCTTCATGGAGGAGTTGATTTGACGGGGGCGGGAGAAGTCATTATTGGTTCAGGAATGTTTCTGCCCCCAGAGGTTTCTGGCACCCACAGGAAGCGTCACCAGGCTGCAGGGTTGATGGGTGGAGTGGGAGCACGGGGCCCAGCCTGATAGTAGGTGTCGGTCTCTGGTAGTCCTCGGGCTCTGGGGAGTAATCATCCGCCTCTTTCCCCCTTCGTGACTGCGGCGGTGGGCCCGGCCCGCGACCCCCCCCAGCTCTGTGCCTCGTGCTGGGCTGCATGATCTTCCCCGACGGCTGGGACGCAGAGACTATCCGGGACATGTGCGGGGCCAAGACCGGGAAGTACTCCCTGGGGGACTGTTCCGTGCGCTGGGCGTACATCCTGGCCATCATCGGCATCCTCAACGCCCTCATCCTCTCCTTCCTCGCCTTCGTGCTGGGGAACCGGCAAACAGACCTGCTGCAGGAGGAGCTCAAACAGGAGAACAAAGGTTAGCGCACTCCTGTGGGGAGGGGCAGCCGCACTAGTGAAAACGCGGCTCTACGTGGAAACGGCTCGGCAATAGGACCACCTTGAAAACAGTTTGACATTAGAACCCAGATGCCCACAGATCTTTGTTACAGTAGGCGTTATACCTAGTACTGTATATTACACGTAAACTTTTGTGAATGTCAAGTAATGTTAAAATACAATAAAGAAAAAGTGTACACATAGGCCAGATAGAGCCTCAGGAGTAATACTTTTCTGTTAACCTTTGCAAACATTATGTCCCTTTATTAAATATACGGTGGTGTTAGATGCTCACACAACATAGGACATTATCTGAAGCAAATATTTGGTATCATTAATCTACAAAGATTGAGTTTTGTGCTCAACTTTACTTATTACTTTTTGGAGAATAATCATGCTCTTTTTATCCAGTGATTAGCATTATGGAAGAGGAAGGCACAATAGTTTCATAACCATTCTCCTTTTAGGAGCTCTTAGTTTTCCACATTTTTACTATTACTGATAATGCTATAGTGAACATCTTTGTGCCTTCTTGTTCATGTAAGTGTTTTTTGTTGTCTGCCCCTGGAACAAGGTGGAGGGGGTGCTGCACAGCATCAGTGGACAGATGCCCTGCCTGTCCAGGTGTGTGCTCTCTGCCATGAGAAACAGGAGTAGTCATTTTTTTTTTAGTTTTTTTTTATTAAGGTATCATTGATATAGTCTTACACTCAGGTTTTACATGAACAGCATTGTGGTTACTACATTCCCCCCTATTACCAAGTCCCTCCCACATACCCCATTACAGTCACTGTGCATCAGTGTAGTAAGATGCTGTAGAGTCACTACTTGTCTTCTCTGTGCTATACTGCCTTCTCTGTGCCCCCACATCTTATGTGTGCTAGTCATAATACCCCTTAATCCCCTTATCCCTCCCTTCCCACCCACCCTCACCAACCCCTTTTCCTTTGGTAACTGCTAGTCCATTCTTGGAGCCTGTTAGTCTGTTGTGGTTTTGTTCTTTCAGTTTTTGCTTTGTTGTTATACTCCACAGATGAGTGAAATCATTTGGTACTTGTCTTTCTCCGCCTGGCTTATTTCACTGAGCATAATACCCTCTAGCTCCATCCATGTTGTTGCAAATGGTAGGATTTATTTTCTTATTATGGCTGAATAATATTCCATTGTGTATATGTACCACATCTTCTTTATCCATTCATCTACTGACGGACACTTAGGTTGCTTCCATGTCTTGGCTATTGTAAATAGTGCTGCGATAAACATAGGGATGCACATCTCTTTTTGAAACTGGGACCTTGTTTTCTTTGGGTGAATTCCAAGAGTGGAATTCCTGGGGAGTAGTCATTTTTATAGCCATACCCTCCTCTGAGCTGTTAGCATGTGCTGGGTCTATGTTTAGCACAGTCTGCTAATTGCAGTCATCTCTGGGAGTTTCATCTATAGAATGAGGATAATGGGAGTGGGCGTTCTTACCTCATATGGCAGGAGGCCTGTCACCCTGTGGTGGAACTCCTGGACTGTGGAGGCAGACTGATTTGGAAGCAGGTTGGGCTAAGAAATGACCTCATCTCCTGGAGTCTCAGTTTCCTGCACTTCGTAACATGAGGTGGTAGGAACTGTACCACCTTCCAGAGCTGTCCTGTGAGGAAGGAAGAACGAGTAAGCCTGTAAAGGTGCTCATGGCACATGCTCAAAGCTCTCACTACTCATGACTCCCTGTCAGGAAGGCATCATGGCCGCTGCTCTTCAAACAAGAAAGCCCAGGCCCAAGAGCTCTGGTGATGTGCTCAGTGTCACCTAAGTCTGGATTTGAACCCAGGTCGAAGTTTCCCAGCTGTTTGCCCCTTTTTCGAGGCCCTCCTAGGCTGCTGGACTGTCCTCAAGGCCCCAGGTGGGCTCTGTGGTCTCGGTATGAGGTCAGGGGCTGCCCTCTGGTGGCAGATTTTAGAAGTAGGAGAATAAGACGGCCGCCTGGCCTTTCTGAGGGGCTTGGGGACTAGACTAGTGTGAGGTGGGCCACACAGCATCCTCTCCTCCCTCCCCAAAGTGCCCTAACAGCTCAGTGTTATAAGTGGCATAAAAGGGCCCTGGTTTGCCCTCCTTCAGCGTCCAGGGATCTCCATTTCTCATTGGGAGCTCAAGATGAGTGAGCCTCATAATTTAGTTCTGAGCCATTGGCCTCTGGAACAAAAGTGAAAAATAAGAGAAATTGCTCTTATTTCCAGCACTCACTATATGCCAAACACTGAAAATTCCTTGACTGGATCTGTTTGTCTTTTTGGCTCCTCAGAATCACCCCGTGAAGTAGATTATTATGACAATTTTACAGATGAGGAAATTGGGGCTCAGCAAGGTGGAACGGTCTGTTCAAGGCTGTCCAGCTAGTCAGAGGCCTGGTTAGGATTTCAGAACCTACGCAGCCCAGCCCTCTGCCCAGCTTAGCCCTGAGGGATGGCTGAGGGGCAGCGTCTGACTTTCTCCAATTCTCTCTCTCTCAGATTTTGTGGGCACCACGGTAAGCTCTGTGTTGCGGCCGGGGAGCGAAGTCTCCGGATGGGGAGTCCTCCCGTGTCCTGTCCCTCACTCGCAGGGACCCTGAAGGCCAGGATCACAAGCCCAGGAATGGACCTCCCTCAGCCTGTCTGTTTCCTGCCCTCTCATCCCTCTGTCAAGCTCGGAGGGAAGACTTTGCACGTGCTACCCGCCTGGGGGCTTCAGGCTTTGAAGAGGTTGGAGCCGGGATGCAGCCTTTGGGGGGTGGCCTGCGGACGCAGGGAGGGTCTGACTCTACTCTTCCCTCAACTGACCTAAGGGAGCTGGACCCCCAGGCCCTTGGGCAGCTTCTCTCCTCTCCAGCCTGGCAGGAGGCACTGTGGTTCTGGTGTCCCAGGCTCCCTCTGTTTGGAGGGCAGCTGCCTGGCTGAATCCTCACCTCTGGTCCCTGCCTTCTGCAGAAACTCATTCAAGACACTGCCCAGGGTGGTCTGGACTCTTTCCTACTTTTGTTTTTTTGGGTGCCAGTGGTGGTTCTATCACCTTGTCACGTAGCGCCAGGCACCACCAGCCTCCCCGGAGCCTCTCTACCCTGACTCCAGCCTGCTCCCAACTCTCCCAAAGGAGTCTGAGCTGCCCCAAGGGAGAAAGCACGGGGCCTCCCAGCCAACTGCTGACTGGAGCCTTGTTCAGCTCAGAGTCTTAGAAACGACACACAGGCTCTGGCAGCAGCAGGAGGAGGTACTCTGACTCCTGTCTTGGTGGTGCCTGACATGATAGCTGGGGTTGGAAGCTGCTCAGCCTGGGGCTAGCCTGGCCTCCAACCTGTTGGGAGGTCTCACCAGTGACTGGATCCTTGACCCTGGCCTGTTTTGTACAGCACAGACGTCTTGGCCCTGTTGTCAGGGCTGGGGGTTGGGGGTGAGTGGGGAGTTTGAGGATGTATCACCCCTCTACCCTTCTCACACTCCCTGACCCTGGGCATCTGCCAAGGGCAGAGACTGTCTTGCCTCTTTGATACTTTTCTGCATAACTTGAACTTGCAGGTCACCTCTGAACAGGGTACCCCCTGTCCCCATCCCCAGGCCTTGTAACCCTGTCCCCACCTCTTCTTCCTCTTGCCGGCCTCTCACCTTGCGATATGCCCAGGTCTGCAGTCCAATGGGCAGTGCTTGGAGCTGAGGCACGTGTGTGTGTGTGTGTGTGTGTGTGTGTGTGTGTGTGTGTGTGTGAGCGTGCATGTGTGTGGGTGTAATTATTTGTGTGTGGGGCAGATGAGGTGTCACCTCCCTCCTCCTCCTACTTTGGGGCATCTCTGTCCCCCTTGGCAGGGAGCAAATGAGGGAGACTCCAGGTATTTCTGAATTCCCCTCACTGCCTCATGGACCTGACGGGAGCCATCTGGCCTGGGGTGTGGATGGCCCCTTTCAGCCCCAGGTTCAGGAAGCAGGTGGGCTTCATCTAGTGTGCCTCCTTCTGTCTTGGGTACTGGCTGCCTGGCCCACTGTGGAGCGTGAGGTCCTTGAGCCTCAGCGGGGCAGTGTGTCTCACCATTTCATTATGTCAGCCTCAGCCAAAGGTGGAAGAAAAGCAGCAAGTGCCATGTATTTGCCAACCTGTGTTAATTTCCACAGGACTTGGGCCTGAAAGTTAGGGTCTCCAAGACAGACCTAGAAATCCTCTGCCTGAGTCCACCATCTGGACCCTAACTGGAATCAGATGCTGGGTCCCGATAGGATTCCCGAAACCTGGAACTTACCAAATCCTGACACCAACCCCTCCTCCCCCAACCCACCCTCTCAACCCTTCTCTTTGGCAAACCCTCCCCCCCAGTGCGCTGGCCCCACACCATGCCTCATCGTACCTGCTCCCACCAAGCCCCACACTGCAGCTCCATGGTGTGGGGTGTATACCAGGGTCCTGTGCTGAGTGGGAGGGACAGAGGAACGGGGCAAAAGTGAGTTCCTCAAAGATTCGAACCAAACCCCATGTTGGAAGGCTGCAGGAGTGGGGCTGGGAGCTAGTGATGAAGAATGGGGGGAGGACTGAGGGAGAGGGAGCGAGGGAGGGGCAGACAGGAAGGCATGGGAGGAGCAGAAACAGAGGAGAGGTGAAGAGTGAAGTGGGGGCCGCAGGGGTGAGCCCTGGGTGGGGAGGGCCAGTGCTGGACAGGAGAGGGAAAGGGGCAGAGAAGGAGCAGCTGGAGAGCAGGACGTGAGAGGCCAAACTGGGATGAGGGGACAAAGGAGGGGAAGGAGAGGCAGATAAGGGAGATGGGACCTGAGGAATGGGGAGCAGCTGCTGTGCATAGTGCGAGGGACAGCTCATTCCCCAAAGATGTCTTCTGCCCAAGGGGGGCACCAGACCCTGGTGCCTGGGTGGAGGTTACAACCCACCGCCAGAGGCCCAGGCAGCCAGCGCCCCATCCCTTTGGGAGCAGGGTTGCCACATCAGGGCATTAGCAGTGGAAAGGGAGATCCATTCGGAGTGGCCTGACAGTGTGTCCTTGTCACCATGCACCCAGCCAGCCGCTGTCCCCATTGAGGGGACAGCTGGGATACACCCAGGAGCTTGGGATTAGGAACGTGGGGTTGGGTGGGCTGAAGGACCACCAGTGTAACACAGGGAAGGAAGGAGATGGCAGTGGGGACCAATCCGTAGCCCTGTCCGTGAGGCTTCAGCAGAGGTGGGACAGACGCTTCAGTCGGAGCCCCAGATGGCTCTTCTGGGGCAAGGGAACCCAGGCAAGTGGCTTGACTTTACTTTTAGGAGGAGACTGGAGCAGAGAACATGGTCTCTCCTCACCCTGGCTGCCTCTTGGACTTTTGGCCCCAGACAGGAACTGAGCTTTCAGTGGCCCACCAAGGCATGCTTCAGTTTTCTCTGTCCTGGTCTGGGACTCTTTCAGGATAGGCCAAAGCAGCCACAGCCTAGAGGTGGCTCAGGCTGCTGGGTGGTCAGGTCCTTCTGGGTCTCTAGGTTGTGAACACTTTCCTCTTTGGGGCTCAGTACCCTGGAAGAAAACCCTTTTCCTGAGGGGGTGAATACCATGGGTAGAATCAGGGTCCTTTTCAGGCCCAGAATAGTCAAGTTGAGAGCTTCTGGGCAAGGCTGTGGGGAAAATTCCTTGGCCTTCTTTTGAGATTCCTGCTAGAGCACAGAGGAGTCAGCCTTCTCCAGCTTCCAGTGTGAACTGATGAAAGGGAACCTCTCTTTGGAGAGGCTGGGATCTTCCTGGCACAAGAAACTCCTTCAGGGCCCTGCCTGGCTCAGGGCTAGCCTCTGGGGTAGGACTGGAGTTTCCTGAGAAGAGAACAAGGAAGCCACAGGCCTTCTCAGAGCTCTGACCAGCAGACCTCAGCGGGCCTGTGCTGTGTCATTAGGATAAGTTGGTGTTGTCTACACCCCTTTAGTAAGTTCTGTCTGAATGTGTCCTTGCTGTTCATCGTCCAGTTTGGTAACATTTATTTTGGTCCTGACCCTTCTGCTGCTGCTGGATTTGAGCTTCAGTGCAGGTGGAATGATGTTCAAATAAAGAAACACTTTATATCACCCATGCTGGCTTCTCCGTCTCTGCATCCATCCCCAGGGGATCAAGAGGAATGAGATTCAACCTGACCCTTTGTACCAGGTTTGGCTGCTTATTAATGGAGCTCTATTACTGTGACTTTCTAAGTTAGTTTGCCCATCACATTAAGTCTGGAGGTAGCCAGACCGTGACCAGTATGGCCCACAGTGTTACCAGGAACCCAGGCTCCCGCCTTTCTGTACTGCTACTTTCAATGCTGGCTTCCATCCTCAAGGACACCTTATGGCCCAAGGTGGTTGTGGGGCTCCAGTCACTTGGTCTCCCTTTCATTGGAAGGAGACTTATGGAAATCCCATATGACTGAGTCACATAGCATAGGTATCTTAAATGTAGTCTGTTAACTGGGCACATCGCCTCCCCAAATAAAATTGGGGTTCTGTCACCAAGGAGAAAGGAAAGAGTGCATGAAGTGCACAGCTGGTCATTTGCACACTCCTGATTGCAGAGGCTTGACTTTGGGCTTACGACACTGACTAGCGGAAAAAAGGCTCCACTCTTTTCTGCCTGTGTGGCCTTGGATAAGTTCCTTCACCTCTGTAATTTCCTGTTGAATAAATGGGATAATGATAGTGATCTCAGGGAAACTGTAAGGAACAAATAAGGCAATGTATGTGAATTGCTTCACAGTGTCTAGCACATCGTAATGTGCTCTAGATGGCAGCTATGTTGATAATAAATTTTGCACTTAGGAATTGAGTCTTCACTGAACCCACTGAGCACTGGTATAGGCTAAGCACTGAAACTAAAACAGTGACCCTTTGATAAGGGTCAGTCTGGTTGGGGAGATGACCATGTAAAAGTAATGTAAGATTTGCTAGGTTCTGGGTATTACTGGAGTTCTGAGCAGGGACACCTTACATAGCTTTTGGCGGGGTGGGTAGAGCAGGGGGCATTACTGTAGGATGAAAAGGAGTCTGACAGGTAAGGGTCAGGAAAGCCGTTCATGAATGAGAAAGCAGCTTGAGGAGAGACCAAAGAAACAGAATGGCACAGGTGGAGAACTAAAAGCAACTGAGTAATGCCAAGCTAGAACAGCAGTTAATGAGCAGGGAGGGCCCGAGATTAGTCTGAGGAGATAGGCAAAGGCCAGATGATGAGAAAGCTCAGAGGCTCTGGACAGGAGTTTGCACTTAAAAGCGATAAGGGAACATGGAAGGATTGGGAGCAGGAGAGGGACACAATTTGCATTTCAGACAAATCACTCTAGTTAACAGTGTTAGTGGACTGAATTAGAGAGAGACCATTTTTATCAAAGAGAAATCAGAAGTCTGGCCTGAAGCAAAGTGGTTGGTGGCAGTGGGCCTGAGAGAGTTAAGAAATTCTGTATTTAGAAAGTAGAATTGAGAACCCTTGGTAACCAAATGATCATGGGGATAAGGGATAGAGAGTGGCATCCAGGAGGATGGTTAAATTTTTGGAGTGGGGGACAAGAAAGATTTACCAGTACAGCAGGGGAGTAAGATGCTCAGGTCAGCTGGAGACATGCTGGGTTTAAGACGCACGAGGGACGTCCTGGTAGAATTGTCCAGTAGTCAGTTGAAAGGGATTTGGGAGCTCAAGAAAAAGATATGGGCCAGAAATATGAACATACAGGTAATGGTTCAAATGCAAAGCAGAGGTGAGCTTGTTCAGGTGACTGTAGAGTGTGAAAAGAGTACAGGGCTGAGGAACACTGGAAAAAGCAACATACAAAGGTCAGAGGAATGGATGTCTAAAAGGAGAGGCCAATGGAAGCATCAGAGCTATGAGGAGATCCCGGAGCATGTGGTGCAATGAACCAAGGGCTTGGAAGTCCAGGGGAATGTCAGCTGGTCAGATGCAGCAGAGAATTAGGGACTAAAAAGTGTGTCCATTGGATATGGGAATGTGGAGGCCACTACTGAATTTGAGAATGTGGAGTCTCACTTTATAAATGAAAAGTTTTGAATGTTCACTGGTCATGGCCACTAAAAGTGTAAAGAGAGAATGGCTAATGGAAGAGTCAAGGAAACCTCTATTTTGGGGGGTAGAAGGAAGTGGAAGATTCAGGGAGCTCTTGCCTGGTGGCATCCATTATCTCAGTGAAGCAGAAACAAGGCTGTCTGCTGGGAGAGAAGGGAATGAGCAGGGGGTTTGCAGTTCAAGGAGCTGCTGAAGGACAGATAAAAGGATTGTGGACAACGTGAATTTGTGGTGGGGCCAACGGACCTGGCAGGCCAGAGGAGGCTGACTTCAGATTGAAGGGTAGGTGCAAGGTAAGCCAAGTGTCCTGCAAGAGTGTTTCAGACCCACCTGAAATCTAGGATGTATACAGAAAAAGAAGAATCTGGAATGGGACAGATGGACAAAATGGAAGAATTGAGGGGCTAAAACATAAGTGAAAGAGTTGGAAGGATAGGAGATGGTGGTTAGAAACAGAGTGTTTTTAACCTGAATACTGAGTAATTCTTGAAGACTGAGATGTGAAGCACCTTGGTCAGGATGTCCACCCAAAAGGAGAGGATAATGGCAGCAACTGGGGTGGAGAAGATGAGTTAAAATTGTTCAAGAATAAAAAAAAAAAAAAAAA